CTCAGTGGTCTAATTGGTTAAGTGCCTGGAGCGAGAATGATAGGTCCTGGGTTCGAGTCCCGCTAGGCGGAGTCGTGGATTACTTGTCATATGATTGGAGAATAGATTGATATCTGTTACTTTTAACAACACAAAAAAAAGAATCCAAGACTGTTTGGTGAAGATTTATTCACGTGTCCACCAAACACTGATTACAACACTGATCAAAATGTACTATATATATATGGTCAGTAAATAATGTAATTGCGATGGTTAGAGTTTCAAGTTGTTTTCATCAATCAATAAACAATTTCATGTATGTATGTATGTAATTGACAAAACCAATTAATCAACTGATTTCACTCACAAACATAATCAAATCACTATATCATTTATTTTATATCATCCTAATAAGTAGTGATTTATATGTGACCGAATTTCCTTTTGATCTACATTTATTTGTTGTAAATGTTTTTTTGTCAGGTCAATCACCACCCAAATTGTTGAGTGAATAAATATTTTAATTGTGACGCTTAATGATACCTCTTTCAGAGCAACTAATGGGAAGATTATATTTATAATTTCCAACTGACTGACTACTGAATGGTGAATAATCATGTTTATATAGATCCTCTTCATTCTGATTGAATTCTAAGTGACTTGGTATCGCGTGAGCCATTTTGAGATGCTAAGAGTTTGAAAGCATTAGACAACAAAACTTTGATCTAGGCGTCGTACTCGTTGGCAAGTTATAGGAAGAAAGATTTTAGGGTCTTTATGAGATTCGAAATTGCAGCACACAGATTTAGGCCGCTTCTCAAATAACTCAGTAGTAATGTCGCAGATTTTGAACGCAAGTGTTTCAAGTTGATATCTCAGAGGGATCACAGGTATATTCTGTTGAACAGTTTCAACTAACAAGGGACCTAGTTTCAAAATTTTCTGTCAACCACCTAACATCATATCATAGTGCACGGAACATTGGACTTCTTAAGCTAGTTTTTGAATAACGACTCAATCGATAAAAACTTAATCAACCGTAAGTAACTAGACAAGTATGACATTAGTTACACTGTTCAGTAATCAATCAGTTATGGATGATAAATTTTCATAAGTAATAAAAATACTATTATCAGAATGGGTTTTGTGGAGATTTAAGGAACCTGGAGGCACTGAACTGCCGTTTCGTCCTAGTATGGGACTCCTCAGAAGTGCGCATCCACGATTTCAACCAATGAATAATACTATTATTGATCAACTCATAATGGTTAAATTTTCTGCCAGAGTTAATACAAAATACCAATAAATGGTTCATCATACTTATTTTTTTAATTTCACATGAGTTAACTATTTGTTCTTTCATTCATTATTCTCATATACATATATAAACATGCTAATGGAATTAACTGTATGACTACGGTGCTTTTTGTTTTTAAAAAAAGATGATTGTTCAATACTGACAACACTGTGATATATTTTTATCTAACGTTTAATGTTTATTTTCGTTCTAAAACTGTATATTTGGAATGGAATGTAAAAATGTGTAATCTCTGTTATAACTAAGGAAACAGTGAATGATTGTGAGAGATATGATCTATAACTTGATTTTGTAAGATTATTGCAGTTGAGTTATGAGTATATATCGGTGTTATAACTTATGCCCTGTGTCCTTATTAATGTATAACGTAATGATACCGCCAAGTAGAGAACACTGAATTATCGACCAGACCAATGATGCATAAAACAAGTACAAGCAGTCTAGAGTCTTTATCGGTCCTGCTTCCCACCTGGTCCTGCCTGTTCGAGTCCAGAACATCAATCTCAGTCTCTGTGATATGAATCATTTATTTCAAGCATACTGGGTTTATATACCAACCGGACAGACCACATCGTACCATAAAATAGGAAACGACATTTGTATAACATCTAGCCAAAAGTGACTGTGAATGTGGGAGACTGTAGTTGATAGACTGGGAATAACTCAAGAATGGTAAATTGTATACTAATAGTTCTTAGGTCCAAATAAAGCTAATGATAAGAGGAACACGAATATGAATAGTTTAGTTACTTAATAATTGTACAATAAAAATATACGTGTAGTATTGGTCCATAAATGGATCCCAACAGTTACCATTCATTATTCTCATCGGGATATAACAATCGGAATTATTAATGCAATATCTATGATAAACGAATATTGAAGAACTAAATATTTTGTTAGCTAAAATGTAGTTTTCATATATACATATGAGCAAAATATTTGTACAAAATAAACATAACTGAAGTTTATTCAATTTGTAAAAGAGTACTGATATTAGTAAGGATTTGCAATTTTTTTGTTTTTAATATTAAGGACTGTATTTCAATCAGTTACTGTTCCCATAGTTACATCCTAAAAGAATTGTTATAATGTAGTGTTATGTCATAAGTTCACATTTGTATGTTATGTGGCAAACAGTTGAAATCAAAAAGCGAAAACTATTATGTTCGAATTTCAGTTTCATTAATGGAATGTTAGCACGTCCCAAACAGAACGAAATGCGTCCTCTACATTTTAATGTTATACATGTAAGTTTCATAGGTCACTTAATAACCCATCAATGTAAAATCTGATTTTCACATTTGCTTAATTGTTACCTGTCATATCAGTCTAAATTGAAAAAATAAAACTGATTCAAAATTGTGTCGTTCAATACTTAGTTATAATTAAAAATCATATTAATGTGTGATATGATACTAATAGTAATCAAAGCATAATAGATGTGAATCATTTGAAAGGTTTCAAAAGAGAGTACTCAAGTGGAAAATACATAATATCCTATGTTATTATTATTATTACTAGCTTTATTCAGATTTATATTTTTGGTACAATGTAGAATTTAGAACAACATATATGAGCGAACAATATTGTTTTCAGCAAAGATGGATAGTGGCTAGCAGTGGAATCCAGGACGTGCGTTTCGTCCCATTTGGCACCTGTCAGCTGGATGTACCTGACACATCACAGAGTTGATGATCACTCTGGGACTCGAACCCAGTATCATTCGCTTCAAACGTCATCGCGTTATCCACTCAGCTACTGAGTTCTGATAGCCACTTGCTTGTGCAATGGGGTGAATTTGAATTCACTTGGTATTGTTTTATTTGAATCTTCCCATTGATGTTTTAGGACTGAAATTGTTCAGTCTCTTATTGGCATATTTGAATACTGTGCTTTATTCAATATTATATTTTGGTACAATGTAAAATTCTCAGCACAGGGTAAACGATATCAAGTGAATTTAAAATAGGTATTGGTTATTAAAATACAAAACAGTTAGTATAATGTACTTCTTAGCTGTCAAAATATTTGAATTATTATTATGGTTTGTTTTATTTCTTTTTAAAATCTTACCCATACTATTTGTAGTTTAGATCTGAAAGTTTTGTATTTATTCGTGCTGGAAAATGAATGATTTCATTAAGGATCATTAGAGTGATTAAAACACACACACGTACATAACTACATGGTTATACAGTTTATCGATGATGATCATGTAAAATATGATCAAATTTAAAGATTTGAATAGAAAACACAAAAAAACATACTTGAAAATTGAAACAATTAATTATTTCAATGGTTAAGATCATGAATCAGTTGAAGCTAGACTACCATGGAAAACCTGGAATCACTGAACGGCGTTTCGTCCTATTGTCGGACTCCTCAGTGAGTAGTAGTGAGAAGTAGTGAGCAGTGGAGTTCAACCAGGTCTGTTTGTGAGATAGTAACTCACTGAAGACAATGGTGGATGTGTCACTCAATTTCGTGGATTAGTTGAAGTTAGACATTAACACCCTTGGATACCGGCCGGCTCAGTTGTCTAGTGGTTAAGTGCTCGCGCGCGAAGCCAGTAGGTCCTGGGTTCGAATCTCGTAGGGGGCGAGGTCGTGGATGCGCACTGCTGAGGAGTCCCACAATAGGATGAAACGGCTGTCCAGTTCTTCCAGGTTTTCTATGGTGGTGTGGCTCCAACTGACTCATGATCTTAACCATTGAAATTACTACAATCTCCACAAAACCCATCTGATATTAATTGATTATTTGTTATTAATTACGTCATTGAATGTTAAATGTAAGAATGCATAATTAAACAGTTACATCTATTGATGTTATTATCTGAGTGTAGAGCACTTCAATATATGTATGTATCTTAAAAGCTAAACTTTGAATAATATTAACATTAATATAAACCCATTTGTTAAATGTCAAAAGTCTAGATTCTAGTGTACTAGTAGAAAGGTATAATTAGATTTAAGTGACATTTGTCTAAAACAATAATTACTATATACATATGATCTTTATTTTAGCTAAATACATCTAATAACATAATACTTTTGTTTTAAATAAGTAGTACATAACACCAACATCCTCTTGTATAATCTCTGAAAAAAAGAACAAGAAATAGATAGTAAATTAACCAGACATTGTTTAAATGGTGTAAAGATTAATAAAATGAAATTGTATACAGAATAAATTTAAGTAATATCTAAATAAAGATTACTTTCTATACGGAAATAGATAGATTATAGATCGATGTAGATGTGTGTATAAACAATTGCTTAATCTATAATATAATTGATAAGATCGAATTCAACACAATATATAACGGGACATATTGGAAATATTTAGTGTTGAAAGGAATGAACCATTTTGATTAAGTTTATAATAGATCTGAACATAACTAATTGCTTATTGTAATGAACCAGATGACCAGAATATTTGTTCCTTTAGGTCTTTGTGATTCAAGAGTTGAGTGTTTGTTTATGGGGCTGAAGTTTCTGGGTTTGATCTGTTAAGGTGAATTTATCAATTTTCATGGCTGAGGAGTTTCTTCACGGAATGAAACAGTTTTACAGTGTTTCGTAGTTTAAAATGATGGCCTATCTAAGATCAGTTAGTGGTTTAAACTATGAAACTTTAACATGTATAAAATCCAAATACTAATCTGAATCTTTTACCAACTATTATATTTTTTTTATAGACAAAATGTTGCATAGATCAAAATGTCACATTGTGTACAGGGAGTCAAACAAAGTCACCAGAAAAACGAAAGCAAGAAAACTATAATCTAGATCAACAACAACACAGACAAATAATACCGAAAGAATTAGATCAGTCAGACAATGATTCTCATCTAAAAACAGATAATCAAAAAAATGTATCATGGAAACTGAATATTGATAGTGATTATGAAGTAGATTCGTTAGCGTTAGCTCGTGATGGTGGTATACTGGATTGGGATGATCGTGTTGTTGATGTGTTAGATGATCGTGAACTGGTGAGTACTTGTTACTTCCTTCCTTTTACAATTATAAATTGCTTTTATTTTCTATAGCGTATGCCATGGATTACATAATGTGCAGACTTATTTTAACACTCAAAAAAGTCTGTGAAGCGTTGAAATAACGATCTTATTCTGGTTTATAACTAGCTAGAAGTGCTTATTCACAATACCACTCAAGACAGCACATTAATTAATGTTTAAAGTTTCAGCCATTTGATTCCGATTAGGCCGTTTAATTTAGAAATGAAGTCTCTGAATTTGATTATATAGGGAGTCAACGATGTAAACTTTAAAGGTGCTTCAAACTGAAACGAATCACCTGCTTAATGCTGCTGGTTTTTTAATATTTCCGTAAATGTTATTTGATACAGGTTATCCTTTTATCAGTAACTTAAAAGCATTTGCTTACTCTAAATAAGATCACTGATTTATTGAATTTACCAACAATGAACTAACCTTACGTCAAAGAACACACTTTATCTTTTTCTTTATTAAGTATGTGGACACCGATCACTGGCTTATATAGATTTCTTATGTCTTCCTTTTAGCCTAGTCTGTCAAAATATGAGAAAATTCAAAGGATTTACATTTATTATTGTGTATTCTATGATTAAGAAACTTAAATAATAACACCAATGGTTGCAGGGTTACAATGCATCACATAACTGAGTCATTTGTGGTATAAAACCAGGTAACAAATACATGGTAAATTAACTGTAGTACGTAAAAGGTATAAAATACATTAGTACATCCATTGATGAATGAAATGAAGGTTTACAAATATGTTATTATAGAAAAATACCATAAATCATTTATACATTGATTGATAACTGGACAGTCCTCGAAATTCTACCCTGACTATATATTCCTCCATATCTAACATGGTTATTATTCATAATATTTCAAAATAATAAATTAAGATATAAAAGTATCTGTAACCTGTAGAAAATTTATTTATTTATTTAAACACATAAATACTGGTACAAAGGGGGCACCAGATACATATGTGCCACAAAAATCAAATGAGATTTGTGTGGGCGCTGGGATACTGCCCAGGTGCCCAAACCCAATCAGCTGGTTTTCTTAGGGGGCCACACCCGGAGACTTCGACCTGAAGGCCTGATCCACAAGGCAGTGGAGCAACGTAAGGAGATGCAGTCCCATGGTAGCCGGTGACCAATGATTGGTTCATACGCCATTTGTTCCCACAGGGTACTGAAGCCCATGTATACCATTGGTTTGGAATCAGGGTTTTCCAACTGCCCTAGGTAGACTGTCCATGTCCACCAATCCGGTTAAAGCGCCGCAAGAAGGCAATGAGTAGGACTTCCCTGGCAGAGGCTATATAGGCGTGGCCGTGTGGGAGCATTTTGAGAGGGAGATAGGACTCTGCTCACTCTCAGCCGTACCAGGGCATTTGGGGACAACCTGTAGAAAAAATAAAACGAAAAAAAGAACATCTACAGAAGTTCATGTCTAACAATATTTGACTTTCATTTCAACAAATTAAATAGTCACAGACAAGATCTTCAAACATACTGCTGTTGAATAATCATTTCAATAACGATACTTCTGAATACTGATTCCTCTGTTTCATAGATGAATCAACCATTAATTCGGTAACATAAAAGTTATGAGTATGTACGTGTACATAAAATAATAGTGAATCTTGTTTGCAATATTGCTTTATTTAAGTACTTTTTTTATTCGCACAATTCCATTACTAACACAATTTAGATACCTCTGAAAGGAAACTATTGGGTTATTTGCTTTGATTATTATCTTAAATAGTATTCTGGTATATATAACTATAAGCATAATAACGAAATAACGGACGTCGATAAAACCAGAGGGAGAACAGTCAAAACAATAACTGAAAGGTTAAGAGAAATATTTAGTTGAATAAGATATACTTCTATTATTCATTTGTATTAGGCTGATAACCTGATTTTGTTACATCCACATGTATTTAAGAATTCAGCTAGTTCTTTGGAGAAAGTTATATTGGACACACAACCAAACAACTGAGTCAGCTAGTTAGTAAACACCTTACTTCATGTTTAGGAAAGAGTATAGTCGAAATAAAAGCAGTTCTGTTCCGTCAAACTTGATCAACAACACTCATATAGTAGATAGGAATAGGTCTTTTAAAGTAGTTTACCGCATTCCTATTAGTTCTCCTTGTGTGGTTCAATTTCGTTTCTTACACATAACAGAAGTTGTAGGAATTCAAGCTAACAATTCAACTCTTTGTATTCATAAAGAAATTTGCGACACGCTTATTTCTTCCTTGACCTAATCAGCCTTAATAAAAGATTTTTTTATTATTTTCTATACTCTTTGTTCGTTTATTTGTGTTCACCCAATTTTTATGAAACATATACTTCACTGTCCAATTATCTGAATACTTCTTATTGCGTAATCTTTGATGAAAACTATTTCAGTATCTATTTGATCTGGTTCATTGACCCACTTCTTATTAGGGAACATTGATTCGAGCATTTATTATTTATATCATAACTAGTACATCAGTATATTAGTACACAATCAATTTGTACTTTTTACTTATTAGGCAATCTTTTCCACTGTTATCATTGACTAATCAACTAACTTGATTGGTTTAATAATTTCATAAGCGTTCGCGCGCGAGACTGAGGGCCCTGTGTTCAAATCTCGCGAGCGGGATCGTGGATGCGCACTGCTGAGGTGGTCTAACATCATTCGGTTCATGATCTCAATCAAAAAATTTCATATATGTATATAAATATTATGGTATATTGGAATAAAACCAAATGAAAACAATATTGTACAGTTATATGTATTGTTTTAATTCACAAAATGGAAATTTTTAAAGATTTTCGATATACTTTTCACTTAAAACTGTGACACCATTTCCTGTAGTTATCATGGTTTAATTGATTGAATAATTTTTTTCTGGTTAGTATTTTTTTTAGCGAGTTAGTTTTCTATGGGATAGGGTCTCTAACCCCATACCCAATCCCTACTCTTCTATCTAGGCTTGAGACCGGTAGTAGATCCAGAGGAGCTTCAGGCGAAGTTAGTTATCATGGTACTATATTTTAATTTCTTTCTAAAAATTAATTCACATTTCTCATATTGTTTTCAATGGATTATATAGATTGTTAACGAAATACAGATTACTCCTGGTTTAACAGAATTAAGAGTTACCACTGAGAAGTTATTTTTTACGTCATTTTGTAATTGTTTACATTATATATCTAGGATGCTGATGTTTAAAACTGTTACAAACTCAACAGTGTTTTGAATAAACAAAGTATGTAAATTTTGTTGTTTTTTGATTCCTAATTTTTTGGTTAACAAAATATCTGATAAGAGATGAATGGTAGTTAGTAGTGAAATCCAGGACGGGTGTTTCGTCCTGTTTGGAACTCGTCAGCTGGATATACCTGCATCTTAAAGTTGATAATAAATCTCGGACTTGATTCCTGGATTTCATTGGTAGCCACCATCCGTCATTGCTTATAATACTTGTAATTTAAGATAATATTGAGGTGATTGGTACAGGATGCACATATGCCAATAGAAGATTGTTCAGTTGTAGTCCTAAACATCAGTGTGAGGAATCGAACACCCAATACAACATAAATTAACAAAATGTCTGTCTATCATGTTTTTACATCATGCAATTCAAACTTTATCACTCAAGTGGACTACATTATGGGGTAGTATTCATTTATAAACTTTTATATTTTGTATTTGAAACCTCATTTTTGGTGATTTCATTTTCATAGTGCTGAATTCTGAAATCTGTTTATTCAGTCTGTTAGTCTTTAGTAATCAATATATTTCACAATACTTTAACGTTTTACCCCTAAGAATGAGTGGTGTATATGAATCTCTGTTGTTTTTTTTTGTTATTTTTTAAAAAACAATCTGCCTATTCAGGAAAGATATTACCAAAATATTTTTATTAATGATTGACTACACCAGGGTAAAGGATGGATGATTTCCTGCATGAAAACTGACCTACTGTAAGACAATGTATGTTTACAAATAGTTAAAGGATATTTTGATGTCGTTGGGTACTGTGAGTTAGATTATTTAGTTGCAGAGTTGTCATAGTTATTGTGGACCACAGTGTTGGTGCCTACGTCATGAGAAAGTGAGTGTCTCAAATATTCTGCGAGGTGTAAATCAGTTTGCCCTAGTGACCTTGTTTTCTGACTGGTTGTCTATATAGGTTTCATTTGTCCTTGTGTTCCTGTTGACTGTCTCTTTTTATGAACCTCTGACCATCTTGCTGACTGACTTTTCATGAATGTTCAAAGTTCTCTAAGTGTACTGCAATCAGTGACAGCATATTATATTGTTTCATTGTTATTTTATATTTGTGTATGAGAAGATTAAAGTGGGGTCGATTTTGTCCGCCGTACTGTACATCGCAGTCGGTACAACTTATTTTAGAAATGATTATAAATTTATCTTCATTCGTCATTATATTTTTAGATTTGCGCGAAATTGAGTGAAGACATTTTTTGTTTTTAGGGAAGACTTTGAATCCAAAACGTTTCAAAATCCACTTGATGATTTTTGAGATGGTTTACATATATCAGTTCCCTGATTTATGAATTTCTTTAGACCTCTCGATGATGTTGCTGGAGTAGCCATTTTTATGGAAGATAGATACAAGTTGCGTTTTCTCAGTGAAAATGATGGAATTCATTTTGCTTCTTTTGGATAAATAGTATAAGACTCATAGTTTACCAGATTATTTCTTCACATAAATTCACTTGATATTGTTTAACTTGAATCTTCCCACTAATGTTTAGTACTGCAATTGATCTGTCTCATATTGGCACATGTACCTACTGTGAGTATTGCCTCAATATTGACTTAACTTCACAAGCATTATAAGCTAGCTACTATCCATCTCTACTTATTTTGTTCACATTATATATATTTTATCAACTTGTCATTCAGACTAATTTCTTCCAGATAATCTATTTCCATCA